AAGCGGAAGAAATAGACTGGGAGAGAACATAGGTTAAACTGCAGTGGCCTCATAATCACCGCTAAATGACGAAAATATGACATGCAGTCGCCGCTCAAATTCTAAGTCGATCAGCTTGTTTACCTTGCCAGGAAAAACACAACACTGACCGCTTAACTCATTACTACGATGTCCTAAGTAGTTCATGTGTTACTATGCACATGTCAAAACAATATTTGGGTAAGTATCAGTGTATGCTGTTACACATTAATTGTCTTAAAGTCATTTATTAATTGTTATTATACTTCATTTATGTGTTTTAAGATTGATTTATAGCCTTATTTAGAATCATGAGCACCGTGCGTTTCACACTTCCTTTCGCTAGCCGCCAGGTTGACACCTCATCAGCCCACTCATTTCGATGTGGAACGCAGGTAAGAAATGTTGCGTTTCCAATGTTGTGTTGATTCTGGGTTATTCTTAAAACTATACAGTGACAAAGAAGATAAGATAGACTTTAGTAATGTTTCCAGTTTAACATCTGGACCCATTAAGAGGTCCAAAGGCCAAAAAAAGTGATGAAAATCAAAGCAATCCAGACAGTAGAAAGAAGCATGCGAAAGTTTAGCTGTTCCAGATATAATAGTATTTGGTTTATGATATTATGGTGTGAATGCAGTTCTATCTTGCCGTACATACCTAGGTGAAGAGAATGTGTGTGTGGGTGTGGGGGACACATTCTATTCACCGAAGGTATGCCTAGTCATGGCAAGTTAAATTGCTATATTAGGCTGGTTTATTGGTCAATACATTTTTGGGGGGTTTGGAACGTGTGAATTCCTGTAGGGTTTTGCTGAAAGGTGGGTTGGGTTCCTGTATAGTCTTTGAATTCTGGCATGGCAGCCCGTAGAATTTCAAAGATGGTGGTAACGTTTGTAGAGTTTTATTGGCTGATTTTTTTGTGCTAGTATTATACATTTTTGATCATTATTCTTCTTATTTAAGCCTGATTTACCCCATAATTTCCCTGATATACTTCATGCCCTCCCCTACTAACGGGACTATTAAATCAAGATTGTCAATGGAGAAATGGTACTCAATCTCCTGAACGATTCATTCGCAGAAGAAACAATTGATGAAATCTTTGGATTCACAGTTTACGCACATTACATTCCACATTCGTATACCAATGGAAATAATGCTATAACCCACTTCTAAGTGCTAAATGATTCAAATCACACTCCAAGAGCTGTGTGTACTTGTTGCGAGTCCTTTCCATCACCCTGGCCTTCGCTCATTACGGCAAGTTTGCATCATCCGGCCCTCGACTCAGATTTTTGCATTACGGGACTAACGTCATCCAGATTGTAGGGGTTAATGGGTAGGGGTTGGAGGGCAGCAGCCCCCCATGGTGAGGTCACACTGAGTCTGTGTATATTATACTTTGCCCTGCAATTTCTCTGGTATCCTTCATGCCCTTCCCTGCTATAGAGGCCAAGAATGTTGGGGTTTAGGGGGTTTCCATGTGATAATTTCTATATATTTAGATAGAAGAGAGTGAGAGAAATCGAGAGGAATCCATCAATACCAAAGTTGTCCCAACCTGTTAGATGGAAGTATTCAATAAAATTTCAATAAGTTATCCATCACATCCATTTTGCCCTCTTTTGCAGCTGGGTGAGCAGGATGAGATAAGATCACAGCAGCATTTTTATGTAGACAGTGGCAATTGCAGGTAACCATATGAAATTGATAGGTAACTTTATGGCCCTTTATTGTAGTTATCAAAGGGTATTTTTGTTTTTGTCAGTTGCAGGTAAGTTATCTATGCATTAGAAGAGTTACAGAATCTATTCATCATGTAAAAAAGACAACAGTATGATAAGATAGTGCATATTTATTTTTGCTCTGGTTGCATTATGGGCAGTGAAGGCTTTGGAGGTTCCAAACACAGCCTTGTTGTCCTGCTGGTTCTGACAGGTTGCCAAGAGGAGCAAGATAAGGAGTTCCAAATGCAGCATGAGACCTCCACACTTCATGCTTAGGCAAAGGCTAACAAATCTTCTCAGTGTCAAGGATTCCTCAGTATACTTGAAGTATCATGCAGTTGTTACACGCACACATACACATGATAAATTAATGAAATAACATCTGCAGCACCTCATAAATGGTGGAAAGCTGTCGATCATTGCCGGAGTGTGAAGTATTGAGACTTGTTATTGTTATGGCATTGTGATGACAATCAGGTATTTACATTAAACAGTGCATGGGATGGTTACCTAAATGAAAAGCAAGACACTTTTCATCCATGGCATTTCCAGGGCAAATCAAAAGTAAATTGGATTTCCCTCATTATTTTTTTTTCTTCTTTTCTTTTTTTTTTCTTTTAGAGATGTAGTCATAACTCCTTTAATTTTACATATTTAGCAAAAATATTACGTCACGAGATTGCCAAAGCCCACTAGATTACAGGAGATAAAAAAAAAAAAAAATTGAGTATATTTTAAAAATTTCATTGTGACGGCCCTCATAAGCTCCGGCACCTGGGCTGAGTTCAACACTCACGATCCTCCAGCAAGCAAGACACAGCCAGCAAGCAGCAACAAGGCCTACCCAGGCCTTAGCCATCGGGGGAGCTGCCCCGGCTCTCCCCGTCAATCTCTAGCACCCAGCCATACCTGTGGGCACTCACACCCACCCACAAAAGCTCCTTAAAGAGATGATTGACACCAGTTTATGGCAGATGCAAATCCATGGCCATACTAGTGTTAAAGTGGACCCTAGCTGTGTCTTCAGACTGCTAGGTCCTTCATATGCTCATTTTGTGCCACTGGTATGCCTTACATGATTATGCCTCTGGCACTAATAACACCATGCATAGTACTTCACATTTGAGCAGCACTTATTCCATTTTACTGTAGTTTCGCATGGCATATATTTTTTTAAAGAAAGAAGCATGGAAACTGATTTACCAATTCAAAATTATTAACGCTAGTCTGATGAGGCATTGATATGAGTGCAGATCATCAAATTCAAATTAGTCATTTCTTGTTGATTTGTTTTTGGCAATAGAAAATGAATTATGTGATAATTAACTCTGAATATTTTATATGAAATTTATATGACTTTTGATGACTATAGATATTGATAATTTTTTTAAGTAAGTTGCAGACAATATTTTTAATTGCACCCTGGAAAGCCCGGAGATACTCGAAGAGAAACACGCTCTATGTTGTATTATTGCTGGCTCCCCTCAGCCCCACAGATTTTGCACCAAAGTGACTGATTCTGCCCAGATAGCCACGCTTACAGCCAAACCTGTGTGTACACAAGACCAGTTGAACTGCACCTTAAGCAAAGGGAAGGGAGGCTGAAGGGAGACAAAATTATTGCAAATGGTAGTAGCATAATGTATTATTGTATTTTGCTTCTACCCACTCTAGTTATATAGGGGTAATATCTTATTATCCAGGAGTGCTCTATGACTGTTGCCATGAGTAATAGATATTTAGGCCAAGTCTCAAAAGGATGGTATATTGTTGATAAAGACTATCCTTTCATCATTAGATATTAGTATCATCATTACATTCAAATACTTTTTTATTCAATAGTACTGTTCCAGTGTTCTATATTAGTTTCAGTATTGCTTGTCAAGATAAAGATTGCTGAAAGTATCCTGAAATGTTCCTGAAATGCAACCAGTGCTGTTTTAATTTTGTTATTATTAAGCTGTTATGGTCAGTACTACTACTATTATGCCTCGTCTTATTTTCAAATCATGTAATTGGAAAGAGGCTCCCTGTTTTGACTCGCTTTCAAAGGCTAGTAATATCTAGATGAGGATTTGATGGATAATATAGGCAATATAGGGATGTAGTGGAACATAGAGGTTGATCTCAAAAGGAGTAGGAAAATATCATCCAAAAATTATGGAATTAAAAATTGAAAATTAAAAATTTATTTGTATTGTTACTATTCACCCTATTAACTCTTTATATAATCCATCCATCACTGGCATTCATTGCCACCCTTTTGCCAAGCCAGGCTCTGAAACAATATGTTTGTAGTACGCTTAATGTGCAAGTTGGGTAAACCTTTGTGTGAGTTTTTCTCTTGATATGATTTTGGTCTTGGATTTGTGGTTGGCAGTATAGAAAAGGTTTACAGGTATGAATAATGAATGGTTTTGGAAAATAAACTTATGAATGATGTTTTGCCAATAATAAAGTTGGACTTGATAAAAAGTTTTGCAAATTGCATATGTGGATAATGCCCTACATCACTATTTATAATTATAAGATATTTTTCAGGTAGCATTTGTATCTTGGCTTACGGCATAACAGATCTAAGCTTTATAAAAAGATTATAATAAATAAATGAAACTTGGAAATTATTACATGGATGAATTATTTGGTTGGTTAGTCTGTTGAAAGAGAGAACCACAAAAATGAGTGAGTCAGCAGGCCATAGCTCCAATTAAACAATGTTCCCTTGGCCTTAAAAAAGTCTCACTCATTGAATGTGTTCCCTGGTTTTTACCACAAAGTAATTCAAGTTACGAGACATTCTCTAGTGTGAATTGATTAAAAGGTGTGATAAAACTTGTGTAACCATTTGTACATTTAACATTGCTTGAAGTGACAGTAGTAATGTGTTCCCTGGTTTCTGTGGGCAGTTTCTGATTTCACTCTTGTCTTTCAGAAGAAGGTGTGCAACCATTCAGTCCCGTGTTGGTGCTCACCCAGATATCCCAGAATGAGTGCAGACGAAGTTATGAAGGATATGAAGGAGCGGGCCAAGCTTCGCCGACAGCTCCTTGCTAAACAGGTAATTTAATGTAATTTTGTTGCTTATTAAGTTATTGTATGGGCTTTCATTTTAATTATAATGGGGATGGCTTGTCTATCTTGGGGGAGTGATTGTTAAGGGTGTGAATGCCCACTGGTATAGGTGCCCAATGCTGTAGGTGAAGTGGAGTTTTACAGGGGAGCCTCTTTGGCACCCCTGTAGGTGCAGGAATGGGCAGTCCTTATGTCGATGCTGCTTGGTTGAGGAATTTCTCTAGTTGATGTGTTGATGATGCAAAATTGCTGGATCACGTGCCTTAAGTAGGCTGCAAATGTGCCAGAAAATCGAGAATGAGGGAAGCCTGCTTGAGCGGTCCAGTCAGAGAGCTGCAAGATTTCTGATATCAACCAGTCAGGTCTCGATAATGAATTGTGAGAAGTGCCTGCTGGTCATATATATATATATATATTATATATATATATATATATATATATATATATATATATATATTATATATATATATATATCATCACATATATACAGCATTTCCACTTTCTCTGCAGTTGACAATACACAATGATTACATTTTACACCACTTCTTTATTAGCTGAATCCAGCATGAGGGTATACAGTTACAAAGACATGATAAAATAAGAAGGAATGAGTACGATTGCCTGTTAAAACATGCAAGCAAGACCCAACAGCTGATTCTGATGTACAGTGCCATCAAAACATGAATGGCTACTCCAGAAAACAGTTGGGAGCCAATGTGGTAAATTTGGAAATGCACTTCAAAATCAAAGCTGGAAATCTGAAGGAACCGGATTATTGATGGCCGGTTTTTTGAATGTCAACCTGTACCATTTCATTGTTTCTTTTCATTATTTGCTTTCCAGCTTGGGGTTGCCAGTGCAGATAAGCTTGGCCAGGCTCTTGGCAATATAGACAAGCAGCAAGAAGACCAGGACCGCATCAAACGCATGAAAAGGTCTCGGCAGCAGGAAGAGCTAGAGGGAGAGGAGGCGGCCAACATGGTGTACACAGACTCTTCTACATTCCTCAAGGTCCGTCTCATTTGAATGGATTATTGTTTGGTAAAACTTTCTCCCCCCCCCCTTGCAGCAATACATTTGTTTGTATTTATAATATAGGTATACTCTATATATTCTATATATTTGGGATAAATAAAAAATGGTATATTATTGGATGTACCATAAAGTGCATTCATTCTTTCTCTATCACAAGGTAAGGCTTATGGTTTATAGTGTGATCATTTTTGTTTAAGTGTAGTTGATAACTTGGAACTCATTGGTCATGGATGAAAATTATTGCTTTGACAGGGATGAGAAGTCAGTTTCAATGGTAAAAGCAATCAAAGTATTATAAAAAGTAAATAGAGAAATAACATAATCATTTGCTGTAGTTTTGCTTGAGCATCAACAGGAAGTGTATTTTGCAGAACTAGTCAACAAGCTAAAAAAGGAAAATAAATAAAGAAAATTAGCCAGAACAGTAAAGTAAAAATATTAATTATACTCTTATAATTGTATGATAAAACTTGGGCATTTTTGTAAAGAAAATACTTATTATCTGATAAGGAGATACTGATGGACAAACTTCATTGAACTTAGCTTTGAATGATAATCATCAGTGAAGGAAGGGACCTTTTAATAGGGGAAGTAAATAGCAATAAAAAAAAATATTTTTTATTTATTCTTTGTACTCACAAAAAAAGTATCTTTACTCTTTCTGACTTAAAAAATATGATACAACTAAAATGGTGGGAAAAGGTGCTGTGAGATTGACCTGATATTTTTATCCCTGCTAACATGATATGTATGATCCAAGTAACTTTAGTCCTAAATAAATTCCGTGGTACTTTTGATATTTCCTGTTACTGCCACCAGCTTGGCGAAGGCCGGCAAGTCTATATGGTATGGATGCCACTAATGCCCTGTTAGCTGGCATCCATCTGCAAAGTGCAATCACTCCCATGCTATAATTGCTTGGCCAGTGATGATATGATGATAGCAAATATGAATTTAGGGGAAGTATCTTTTCATGGTTGCCCAGACATCCTCAATGGGATTGGGATGTGTCAATTTGGGTGGTTGTAGCACAGTGTAAACTTGTAGTGTTGCCAAAACCTTGTCTTCATGACACTGCTTGTATGGATGGGGCTGTTATCCAGGTTGTGGAAAAATGACTTTGGCTTGGGGAACACCATGGCCCATACAGATGGTAGAGACATCTCTTCCAGGATTTTCTCATAGGCAGACCCCTTAAAGCTTCCTAACCCTACTGCTGCGCATTCACCCAAACAGCCCGGTGGTGTCTGACAGTCTATGTTTTTGCATAATGCCAAGTCCTGCCAGATATTGCCAACAGAATAAAAAGGGTCCATGTCCCTTGCAGTAGTTATGGCCTGTTTCTTAAAATAATAAAAATAGATAACTAAGAAGAAAGTGACTCACGGTAAGGGAATATGGCAACTAACTATTGGCCACGCCCCTTTTCAAACCCAGTCAGCTGTGAGCGGTATTGCCACTGAGTATCAAATGGTTGTCATTAGGTCATGGTACTCATGAACTTCAGTGCGTTTCCTATTTGTCTTTCATATGGCACTTTGATATATGGTTATGAAGAACATTTACATGATTTTCTCCATTGTACATCTAGAGTGTCCACTTCTGGCCTCGTCTCCGGTGGACCCAGTTTATTGGTGTTGCTGGAATCCAAAGGGACATGGTTAGCTTCAAAATAATAAATGATCTTGATATTTCTCTCAGAGTAGAATGCAGTTATAGAACTACAATTGGTCTGTGAGGTCTGCATTACTAATATTGCCATGATACGAGGCCCTAGCCATATCAACTCCAAAACATTATTCAAACACATTATGAAGCTCCATCTGTTCAAGTTTTGAAAATAACATTTAACAACATTTCTGGATCAACTAGCTATTCTTTCTGTTTCATCTACTTCTGAGTAAAGATATTCCTTTTAGCAGCTCTATATAGAACATCAGTTTGACAAGAGTGAATGCAGGAAATGAATAAAGAAATGACTAAGTAATAATCTCTCATTGGCACTTATAAAGCAGTTCTTGGTGTGTAAGACTGACACTGGTATGAATTAATTGTAATGGTATAAGTTGATTTTTCAAGATGTATAAAGTTTACTGGGTTAGTTAAGGTTTTTAGTTTTTAGGTTTTAGTTATAATGTTTGCATTATTAGTTAACCCAAAGAATATTCCTTTAGGGGGCATACTGTTTGAGTTTACAGTTTTTATGTTTATTTCTCTTACAGGGCACTCAGTCAGCAAACCCACACAATGATTACTGTCAGCACTTTGTTGACACTGGTCAGCGTCCTCAGAATTTCATTAGGGATGTGGGTCTCGCTGATAGGTTTGAGGAGTATCCAAAGTTACGGGAGCTTATTCGCCTCAAGGTAAGTAGTCTTGTTGTTGAATGTGTTAATGCCAATAAGCTAGGATAGAATCATTTTTTTTATTCTCATTGAAATCTGTATTTTTGCTGTTTTCATTGTATTTGGAAATTGCTTAGGCAAGGTCATTCTTGCAGTACTCAGTATTTGTGAATAACTGTGGTGTGAAATCATATGATCATTCAGTCTGCGGTTAATCATGGGGCCCTGTGTAGTGTGCCACAACAACTAAATTATTCTCTAGTCTGCTTTGTTTGTTCTACTTTTCTCACATGTATTTTAGGGATAGATTACCATATATATGTTCATTACTGGATTTTCTTCTTGGGATTTTGTATGAAGTTTTTTCTATGGTTGATACCAAATGGCATACTATTTCAGCTGTTTTTTGTAGATGACAGTTTGTTTCCTCCTTCAGACACAAAATAAAGGGAACTAATATGTGTGACCAGATGGCAGATGATGCTACATGACAGTTTTTCTGTATTCTGCCTTATGATTTGTTTCCATGAATCTTTATATCAGTTTCAGTGTCAATCCTTTTCTCTGTTGGTTTGTCTTCACCGATTATTATATCTATTTCAATGTCAATCTATTTCTGTGATTGCAAAAATGATCAGACTCAGGAATAGAATTAGAATATATGTAGGGTCTATATAAATACAGTAATTCTATAAAGATCTCAAGGCCAAAACTCAAAGAACAGAAAAAAAAGTTAAGGAAAATGATTAGTCTGCCATAAGTGTGTCATGGTTTAGCTGGCTTTCAAGGATTTCAGTGTAATGTCCTCTACTATCACCTGCCATTCTTCATAATGAAATTAAAGTTATGTCCAAACACCACATCAGGTTAGGGTAACAGGTGTTTGAATCTTTGCTGTCAGTAGTATGATGATACTAGCTAGTTTAAATAAGTACTAGCTTGTTTAATAAAAATTCACCTCTTCTACCAAGAAATGAGGTGTATTGGGAGTAGATCCTTGGGGAGGCTCCCAAAAATGGTCCTTTTTTGGGAATCACTGAATGATTCCATAAAGATGATGCATTGGTGATACTAGTGCTATCATTAAATACTGGCTGACAGTGCTTTGTGGCTTGTGCCAGCTATCTTCTTGATGGTTTGGCTGTTGATACTGAGTTATTATTACTATTAGTGCTTTTTATCTTTTCTCGATCTGCTTCTAGTAGCTAAGCAGTTTATAAAAAATGATTAGCTGTAGTCAGGAATTTGATTTTTGTTGTGTATGGATATTGTTTGATAAGAAGAGATACACCTTGCAGACAAGATTGTAAAAGATGTGCACATTAGTTTTTATATAGTCAAAAGTCACCAATAATTAGTGTTATGTGGCAGTGATACAAATAACCAAAACTTTTTTTTAACAGGATGAGCTGATAGCTGCAACAGCAACACCACCAATGTACCTGCAGTCAGACCTACACACCTTTGACTGGCGTGACCTACCTGTCAAGTTTGATGTGATTCTTGTTGAGCCTCCACTGGAAGAGTACCAGCACACGGGAGTCAACAATGTGGAGTTCTGGGACTGGCAGAAGATCATGGACCTAGACATTGCACAGGTAATTCATGTGGCATTTGTTATCCTTAACCCATCAGCGACAGGTAAAAATTTTGTCAAGTTTACGTATGCGCCTGCTTGTTGGCGCGCACTGGCAGTTTCCCCTGTTTGCGCCCCGCTCGATCGGTAGTTTGCGAGCGACATAGAGCACCTAAAAGCTTTTATTTTGTGAAAATTTATAAAAATATTAAAATTTTGAAGGTTTACCTTTACTTTAGGTGCCATTGCCTAAAATCTTTACCATATAAATGAAGCCGCTACTAGTGGAGAAAAACAACCTCCGTCCGACGAGCCAGTAGCGCGGGAATGGGCATAGCATGATGCCCCCGGCGTTTGGTCCACAACAGCCATGGCATGTACGTACGTGACACCTGGCGCCAATGGGTTAATGAACGAATGACTAAATGACTTTTTTTTTTTTGCCAAGGAAGGAGTTAGGGGGTCTTGAATCTGTAGATTGTTCTAACTGTAGTACTTGGTTATTTCTTTTAGATGCCATTGCTTCCTGTTAGAATGTTTTGGCTTGTATGATTTATGTGTTATTACTTTATGATTTTTATATTATTCTTATTATTGTTGATATTCTTATTACTATTACCATTATTATTGTTGTTATTATTATTACTATTACTATTATTATTATTATACTATTACTATTACTAGTATTATTGTTGTTATTATTAGTACGATAACTATTATTATTGTTATTATTTTTTGGGGTACTTTTGTTAATACCATTTTAAAAGTTATTACTGTTATTAGTATTACCAAGTTTTCCTTTCAATATAACAGGTAGCAGCGCCTCGCAGTTTTATTTTTCTTTGGTGCGGCTCCTCTGAAGGCCTAGACCTTGGACGGCAATGTTTGCGAAAGTGGGGCTTCCGACGCTGTGAGGACATTTGTTGGATACGAACAAATATAAACAACCCGGGACACTTGAAGAATCTCGAGCCAAAGGCAGTATTCCAGCGAACAAAAGTAAGACCATCTTTTAACACTAGTGATTTGAGTGTTTTTTTTTTTTTTTTTTCTACGTTTATTACAATGAAAGTAGTTATCATTTTTGTAATAGGAATTTGCTCAAATATTTATTATTTGATTATGATGGATCCTGGTACTTATAATGAATATTTAGTGTAGTTTGTAGGCGCTTTTTCCTTTTGAAAAACAGTGCCTGTCAGCTGTTGGTAATAACAGTAAGTTGTAATTATAAGTAATAATTTTTGTGAATGATTGGTGTGTGTTTTTGTGTGTATGTTTATGAGGTTCTTGCCATCTACTGGCTATGTAACTTTAGTTTGTGAGATGGACAATGTTAAAGATAGGCTTACAGTTTTGTGCATTTTATTATGATGGTTTTTTAATGATAAGGAAAAAATATCTTGCATCTGTCAGTTTATTAATCTCGCATTCAGAAAGAAATAGAAACATTGCCAAATTTCAGGTTTCATATATTTTTACATACAAAGGTTTTTATAAGTACTGCTGGAGTATCATATTAATATATCAGTCAAGAGTAGCATATAAAGGTTTTTATAAGTCAAGAAGAGCAGTCTCTCATGATTCCAGACATATATGACATTCCATACTTGGGAGTGTGTAGTTAACCCAGTGCCAACGGGAAAATGGTGCGTACCCTTTGGCAATGCTTAGTTAAATGTTTCTGCACATAGATGCCAGTGCTTATCCACAAAGGAGGCAATCAGTAGATCTTGTGACCTCACTTTTCTTTGAAAAAATGGGAAAATGCTATCAATATTGACACTTATTTTTCTTATAAACATTACTATATTGTTACTGACATTACTAACAGCAGTATTAGATACTAATATTATAAATATTATAAAAAATCAAGGAAAAGGGTAAACAGGTAAGACAGGTAGTTTGAATAATTGTCTCACTGGTGCCTTGGTACTGGTAAAAATGATTACTAAACTAACCAACACACAGTGGGCATGGCATGTATGCACATGCCATCCCCAGCAGTAAGTGGTTGATATGTCCTCTGCTGTTGTTGATTGATACAGTTTTGTAGATGTAATTGTGATATTTTATATCCGTTCTGATAATGAAGAATTTCCCTTTGTATAGCTGGCAGTACATGATTTTTGTATACTGCGTCATTACTGTGGCTGAATTTTGTGTTGGAGTTAGTGTGGTTAGCTACCACCAACCTGTCTGTCTTGAATAATTTTTAAAATTTTGGCTTCCCTTAGAGAAATTGGAATAAAGTGACAGATATTTATATTCATGTCTTTTTCATTGACTGTAACTGTTTTATTCTTTATGTTTTCTTAGAGAAGAGTTTGTTATGCTCTTTTACCTATTGTGTTTAATGTGAGGCAGGGTGGTAAAGGAATCAGAGAAATAGATAACAGGTAGAGGACAGATGGAGAGGAAGAGGGAGAATAAGAAGGAAGGGGAGGAAAGAGGTAAGAGAAGGGAGAGGGAGTGAGGTAGAGACGAGTCACTATTTAGAGGGAAAGTATGAATTAGAAAGAAAGAAAAAGTAACGTTATCACTTTGAAAACATGAAAATATAACTGTATACTCATCACTTAAATTTTGTGCCATTTCTCTGAGGTGGAATTTACAATTGAACTAACTCTTTGGTTGCGGATGGCCTAATGACATGCAATGGCTGTGGTGGACTGAGTCGCGGATGACCCCACATTGTGATATATACTGTGCCATTTGCTCATCGAAGAGAGCTCGTCTTCCTCAGATATTAGCAGCATCATTTGTTTGGTGTCACTATTAGATAGGAGCAGTTAAAGCACTTCCCCTCTTTTCTAATATACAAGAACAAACTATCAGGTGCCTAATGTTGTGTGTGAAGTACCAAATGAGCTGCAGTGCAGACAGCTGATTTGTGCCAACTACCCTGGATTAATGGCCCACTAGCCAATTTTTAATTCCATAGTTAATGGGTTAAGTTGCTATGACTCCTATTACTACAGTTAATAAGACTTCCCTGTATTGCACATCAGGAGCACTGCCTAATGGGCATCAAGGGAACTGTCAGACGTTCAACTGACGGAGACTTCATTCATGCCAATGTCGACATTGATTTGATCATCTCAGAAGAGGCAGAATATGGCTCCCTGGAGAAACCAGTTGAAATATTCCACATCATTGAACATTTCTGCCTGGGACGTCGAAGGTAAGACAATGTTTGTTGAATTGGGGAAATTAAAATGTGATTAAAATTGATTCTAAATTATTGTTATGAGGGAAAATGCATGTATAAAAATTATTTCATTCTTTGATAATATTGCACATGAGTCATAATCTCAGGTCTGTGTTTCTTTACTTAATAGTTTAGAAAAAAGAAGTATAAATATATAGAGAGAATTTACATGGTTAAGAGTTATCTTATTATTGTCATGACTGAAATAGGTTAAAATTGGTTGATGAGGAAGAGCTTTGCAATCATCAATTATAAACATCATTATTTAACATTTGATGAACTATGAGGAGTATTGATAGACATGTAATGCATGTTATAGAGATCTGAATTGTTTTTCCATTTCCCCTTGCAGGTTACATGTATTTGGTCGTGATAGCACCATCCGTCCTGGCTGGCTCACCATTGGGCCAGGATTGACAAGTAGCAACTTTGACCCTGATGTGTATGCAGGCTACTTCGCCAATGGACAGACTACCACAGGCTGTACAGAACGCATCGAGGCCTTGCGACCCAAGTCCCCTCCACCCAAGCAGAAGGGAGGCCCAGGGGGACGAGGGAGGGGAGGGCTGTCCTCACGCGGCAGTTTCACACGGGGAATGGCTCTCTCTTGCGACCCCCAAGTCCCTCCACCCAATTCACGATCAGGGTCACCGTGCCCCATGCGTTCTCTCTCTCTCCCTCTCAGTGGGACGATCTCTCTTCGATCGAGGGCAGTGGCCGCCTCGGTGTCTCTGTCCCTCACCGCTTGTCGCCTCTCTCTCTCTTTCCCTCTCTCTTTCACTCCTCCTTCTCCCCTGCAGTTTCACCACGGGGCGTAAGTGGAACGCCACTCAATAATCTTTGTCCTGGGATGTTGCTAGTTCGGTTATACTCGTTAACTTCAGTGTGCCTGTTCTACTTTCACTCTCCTTTCATATATAATGTTTGAGCGAGGGCTATGTCAAGCTACCTTGATTTCAAATATACAGTTTTTTCCCTAAATACCAGTCTTGATCATTTATTATCAATCTTTTCTGCTCGTATTATGCCGTTCCCTCCTAATCATTTTGAACCCTAGTGAATAAATATCATTTGACTGTGATTCAGATATACATTTTTTCTCCCATAATCATGTTTTTTAGCCTTTACTTTTTTAAAAAAAGATATATGTTTTGACATTGAGGATTACCTGTTGCCTATATTATTAGTTTCTGCATTATTCTCCACTCTGTAATATTTGTCCCCTCTGAATTTCAAAAGCCGAGCTTGTGATGATATTAAATCCTACAATGAAAACCAAGATGATATTGAATTTAGCGTTACCACTAATTTAAAAACTGGCCTGCATAAGTTGAATGCATGCAAAAATATGTTGCAAAAACTCATTCAAATATGAGAACATAATATGATATTGATTCAAGAGAGACTCGGTTTCTTACACCATAATGCTCTCACCGTCTATATACTAATAGTAAGTTTTTCTGTATGTAGTTCCAAGAATCTTTCTTCTTACTCACAAGTATCTTCTTTTTTCGTTTCTCTATATATATAATATATGTAACCATTGATATTTATTACATATCTATATATATATATAACCTATTACTATTTACTTTAATATATAACTTTTCACTTATCAATTACTATAATTATCATTAATTTATATTGAACGCTATATCTATCTCATATTACTCTATATCCCAACCTATCCCTCATCATATCTATATCTATAATAAATATAACATATGATAAATATTATATATTATATATCTATACTTTACTACTATTATATATACTCTATATATATACTATATATATATATATCTAACATATGCATAATTCTATATATATATTCCTATTAGCTTTATATATAATATACTTTCCTACTATTCTATCTATTATATACCTATCTTACTCTTACTATATACAAATGGATATTACTATATACAATATACTATATATACTTATCCTATATATACATATAATACCTATCTACTATAACACTATTAATATTATACATTACACTTACCTAATATATACATACCATATATATTACCATATTCATATCAATACCTACTACTCTTCATACACTATACATTATCTATATATACTATAATAAAATCTATATATCATACTATCCTCTTATACTATTTATACTATATTTCACCATATCATCTATACATCCTCACCATATACTCCTATCTTATACTATTACATACTAATTATATATTCTCCTATTATACCTATACTATATATTATTATATACTACTCACATATATAATACTATATATATACCTGCTAATATATATATATATACATATTTATGATATAGTATATTTAATATCTATATTATATTATATATATATATATATATATATATATATATATATATATTATATATATATTATACATATATTTATATATATACATATATATATAGATACTATGATATATACATATATATATATATATATATATATATATATATAGTATATATATATATATATATTATATAAATAATTATATATATCATATATTAGTATATACTATATAGACATATATATATACTATATATATATTATATATATGTATATATATATATATATATAGTATATTATACATATATATATATATATATATAATATATATAATATATATATATATATATATATATATATATATATATATATATATATTTATATATATATATATATATATATATATATATAGTATGTGTGTGCTGTGTGTGTGTGTGTGTGTGTGTGTGCACATACATATACATATTCTCTTTTACAGTGATAGTTTTTGAATATTTACAAAATATGGATGGGAATAGGACCAAGGTGTATTGATGAAGATGAAAATAGGAATCATACATTTGAAGTCAAAAAATAGGCATTGTAATAACAAGAACAATATCAGCAATTGTTAAAAGCAAAAGAGCAACATTATCAAATGTTTAAAAAGACTCAGAAAAACATGTAATTGATTACAAAGAAGATCTTTACATTTATGATTCATACATTTAGAGGATTCATTATTATCAGAGATCATAAGACTGATCTGCTTGGACAACATTTTATGAAAGCTAAAATGATTATGAATAATGAATTCTAAACATTTAATTTCTATCTTATGCTTACATGCAAATTTGCATTGTTCAGTATGTCATGAACCATACTGTCTATTTACCTCAAGTTTCTGCATAATGTCTTCAAAAACATTATCATACAATGTGTCTGGATCTGTACATCCATTTTTAAAGCATATGTTACTGATCGATTCTATCATTTGTTGAAAATGCTCTTTGTATTTTGGCCAGACACACAATCAAATACAGCTCTCACATCCTAGACCTTTGTGATGCATAATACCCCTTCTGTTCCTCCCTCTCTCCCCCCTTTCTCTCTCTCTTTTCTCTCTTCTCCCCCTCCTCATCTCATCACTCTTCTGTTTGCCTCTCTTCTTCCCTCTCTCTGGTTCTCTTTCTCTCTTCCCTCTCCGTACGGCTGGTCCAATCTAAAGTATCAGACTTTTTCTGCTCGATACTCGCTTCCTTGGTCACTTTCATGTCCAGCTTCTTTCTCCTCTCTCTCTCTTTGCTCTCGTCCTCATCCTCTCGTGCTCTCTTCTCTCCTTTCCTTCCTTCTCTTCTCTCTCCTCTCTCTTTCCTTTTCTCTCTTCTCTCTCTCCTCTATCTCTTCGTCTCCTCTCTCTCATTCTCCCTCTCCTCTTCTCTCTTTCTCCTCCCTCTTCTCTCTCTTTTTCTCTGCCTAATATCTCCTCGCATGGTTGCAATAACAGTCATAATACATCTACCAGTAACAGGACTGGCATATAAGCAGAGCATTTGCCTCTCTTGATATGTATGGTTGCTCTGGTCCGCAGGGCCTCCTGCCCTCATTCCTTCATTCTTTTCAGAGCCACTGTCTTCTTGCTCCCTGGGGTTTTTTAATCACCACAAACCCCCCTTCTCCCTAGTCTCCTTTCTCCTTTTTGTGCACTTACGGACTGCACAGACAAGGAGCAAGCAGAGATGGTCTAGTCCATAGTTAGTTAAGATATCACATCCTTGCCACCATCATCAACTCACCTTTTTCCCATATTCGATACTCTCCTCTGATCGATGATATCCCTTGTTGAGACCTCTACTTTTCCATGTCCCTTGCCTGCTTGAGCGCGCTCCCAATCAAGCTGCGTTGACCTGAAATTCATTTTTCTGTATTAAGATTATATTCATCTTGATCCCAAGTCTATTAGTTAGACAGCCATATGTATGCCGGAGGGAAGCTCCACAATGTCTATCCCAGCCAGCGTTGGTTTTTCCGTCCACAAGTTGACTCCAAGGACCAGATCCGACCAATACCAGCCACTCTTTACTCCTGCCATCTCTGCAGATGTGACACTCTACCTGGTCTTTCCTCCTCGGACAATTACTGCGAGGGATCTGCTTTGCTTTCATGCCTAGATCTTCCTCACCTGGAAGTATTTATCTACTCACTATGTGCCTCTCCCTTGACTTCTTCTCTCTGCT